CCCTAAACCCTAAACTCCTGCACCTGAAACCCCTAAACCCTAAACTGCTCCTGGAACCAGCACCTCGCGTGATGGGCCGGCAGTCCGAACTACGAAGGCACACTGCGGGGAGGTGCCATCCGTGAAGTCTGCTCGGACCTGACGTACAGGGGGGGGGGGTGCAGGTCCAAGGCTTAGGGTTTAGGGGTTTAGGGGTTTAGGATTTGGGGTTTGGGATTTGGGGGGGCGGGGGTGGGTTCTAAAAATTTCGGGATCTCTTTTGGAGGTCCTAGAACAAGGACTGTTCTAGGACCACAATATATTTAGTTATCTGATGGGCCCATTTCAGGACCAGGTCGTAAGATTTAGGGTCTGGGGTTTTGGTTTAGGTGCAGTTTACGGCTTGCCTGGAGAAAATCTATCCCAAAAGCAGAATGTAGAAACCTAAAAATAGTTTCAGATGTAGGGCTCATGGTTTTGGATGGATTAGGGTTTAGGGTTTAGGGATTTCGGGTTGGGCATGTAAGGTTTTGGGTTCCTGCTCGAGGGTTGGGGCAGGGTTTAGGGTTCCAAGATCTCCTGGGGATTCCTTGCACTGGAGATTCCTGTTGAAAGGTAACCCAGACCCTGATTAGTTTAGGGTTTAGGGTTCCCCTGAATAGGGATTGTAATAGGGAATATTTAGGCCCGTAAAAGGAGGGGGTTATTAATCATGGGTCCACGTTATCCACCAACCTAAAGTAGACGGAGTTGGGAACTCAGGGAGGAATTTAGCTATTTGCACATAACTTCCTGACTCTAGCGGCAAGAAACCCTACCAGAATCTTTAAGAAGATACTTGGGTTTTAAGGCTTCCTACTAGGCCGGAATTAACAATGCACCTCGAAACAAGATACGCCATCAAAAGCCTGAAGAACCACCACAAAAACACCAGGACAATGCAGGAATCTGAATAATAAAGTTTACTTCCATTGTCTTTGCATAGTTATCTAACCCCACATCTTGAAAACCGGAGCTTGACCCAGTCTTTGAATCCTCAACTTGAAGCACTACAATTCTTTGTTACGCACAAATCATGTACCCAAAAATGACAAAAGTGTACCTACCCAGCTACTAAGTGAAACCCTACACCACGAAACCTAAAACCGTAAACCCTCAAGGCCTAAAACTTGAATAATAGAGTGGCTTCAATTCTTGCCCGCGATCTTCTTACCCTAAACGGTCCTATCTTGGGCTAATCTCGGTCCCCCAAGCAGTAACTATACTTGAAGGGAACATTAGAATTGTTCTTTTGGTAGTTGCTGCTGTAAGGGGAAGTACCTATACCAGAGCTTAGAATAAACGGCAAAGAAATCGGAAACTACTAAATTCTTCGGGGATTATATGGGGACCACTATGAGGATGCAAGTTTTCACTCCGAGCCCTCAACCCTAAACCCTAAACTCTATATGAGCTATAGTCTTAGCTCCTTAAAGGGGGTTATATGAGGGATTATATAGGGGAGCATTATTAAGGGGGATACCAGGAGTTTAGACTATAGCTCATATTATGGGAATCCTTTTATTGATTCCCTGCTAACCAGAGAGCTGCCAGGGTGCCCATTGTCGGCCCGTAGATGGGCCTGCTGAAATAAGAGTGCCTTCGCCAACCTGTGCTACTGCGGGAATCAGGGATTTAGGAATTTAGGGTCTTAGGGTTTAGGGGATAGGGTATAATCCTAAACTCTAAACCCTAAACCGTGTTAATATAGGGTTTAGGCTTTAAGGTTTAAGGCTTAGGCTTAAGGGTTCAGGGTTTTAGGGTCGCCAACCTGGGAGTTTCTCAAACTAAGGGGCCCCGAGGGGCCCCAAGTCAAAATTGTATGGCGATTCTGGGGGGGTCCTTATCCGGGACGTTATACTAGGGATTCCAGAAGGTAGATTTTGAGAAAAGCACCACTTGTGCTTCCAGACCCCAGAACACATGGTGGGTTGTGAAAACTACTGCCTCCGTGGGGGTACCCAGAGATCAGGGGCCGTTCTAAAATTAGCCCAGAAAAGACCACATTTCAAACAACCCACTATACGAGCTATAGTCAGAACTCCTTGGACGGGGTTTATACAGGGGAGTATCATAGGGGTTGTTAAGGGGGCTACTAGGAGTTTAGGCTATAGCTCATATCGGAATGGAACTGAAAGTGAAGGGATTGTGTTCCCAGAGCCCCCTCGAGCCCTCCTCCCCTAACTAGTAAGGTCCCCATCTGAGTAGTGTTTTTTTGGTGGTTGAACCTAGTAAGATTATATTCCTTATATAAGATACTACCTCAAAAGGAGGATATAATCTTACTATGGGTACCATAGTATCCCCAAATAAACTACTACTCATCTGGAAACGAGGCCAGATCTATAAAACCCACAAGCCAGAACTCTCTGTACAACCTCTCTAAACCTACTTCTAGACCCTGTCAACTCTCACCACAGGACTCAGACCATAGGATACAGGACGACAGGAGGAAGGGTACCTCTATGAGCACTCCATAAAACGCTAGAAGACCTTCATAAGCCTCGAAAACCTTTCAGCAACTCTAAAACCTTCTATACAAGCTAGGAACCCTCTGAACACCTTCCATAAACTTCCAAAAACCTTTTAAATCCAAACCATCGGATAAAAATTCCATCAAAAACCACAGTATGCCTAAAACCCAAACTCCAACCCTAACCCCAAAACCCTAAACCAATCTCAGAACCCAAAAGTTTCCAGGAGCCTGCGAGCTGGAAACTCCAAGAAAACAGCCCGAACGAGCCTCAGCATACGCTACTTGGAGGTTCTGGGTTCAGGGTGAGGTTTGAGAGTTCCCTCAAAGGGTTACTAGTGGGCTATAAGTACCAGTTTGTATTTGGGTTAGGGGGCAGGATTCAAGGGTTCAGAGTTTCGGGTGCTGATGTTCTTGTTCCTATCGTCATCTATGGCTCAGGCCTTCAGAGCTTAGAGTTGATTCAGCAAGGACGGTCTAGAGTATGGGCTTGAAGGTCTCTGGATTTATTGGTGGTTTCAGCTCGGGGGAGGGGGGCTGAGTTAAGGATTTAGGACTGTGGTCTTTGATCACGACAGGAGTTTTAGGTCTAGGTATTAACGTCTACGCCTGAACGAGCGGATATCTACCTTTGGGTAGAATGAAGCTGCATTCCGGAGTTTGCTGGGTCAAAGCAAAGACCACTTTGCTGCTGCCCGAAAGGATGGCGATCTTCTATTTTGTAAGCACGGCTCATCACACTCATCTACCACCACTGCTGGTACTGCCACAGCCATTGCTACCGCTACTCCTACTATCACTGCTCATACTCGTGCTCCTGCTGCAGACAGCCATGGTAGCAACAGTCACGGCAACAGTAACTTGCAGAAACTGCAATGTAATGAGCATCCAGGCCGGGTAGCAAGCAAGCAAATCATGTCTCCATCCCGCACGGGGCGACTGGTGAACATCTTGGCATTAACCTGGCATGCTTCTGCACTTCGGCTGTGGGCTCAGGAAGCTTGTGATCTGGGACTTCGTGGTCCTAAGCTGCTGCCCTTGTACCCCCAAAAAAACCCAAAACCCTGAACTTCAAACCCATCTGAACTCAAAATCCTAAACTCTTGACTTTCAACCCTATGTATCCCTTAGGAGGACCCCCCACCCTGTAATAGTGGTATACTAGGAATATAAGAGGACCCTAATATAATCCCTAGTATCCCCTATAGTCACGATTACTGGGTGGGGGGTCCACCTAATGTGTCCCTAGAACTCCCCAGTGTGCCCATCATGCCGCCCGCTCCGCTTTCCATGTGCTCTTCCCTCTGGCTTTCCATTCTCTGCCCTCAAACCCTATACCCTAAACCCTATATATCCCCGCGCATCCCTAGAATAATACTCATGCTCATAATACTAATAGGGTTTACAGTTTAGGGTTTAGGGTTTAGGGTCTAATAGCAACAATAGTAAGAACAGTAATAACAGTAATAATGGCGGCAATACCTGTAACAATGCCACTAAGCCCCAAAACCACTCAGAACTTGAACCCTAGACATTTCTATGTCTACACCCACTTTTAGAGGGACCTTTACCCTGGATAACCCCTATGCCGCTAACCCTGAACCCTTAACCCTTAACCAATACAGAAGATTAACCCTTAAGCCCAAACCCTAAGCTCTAAATCGTGAACCCTAAACCCTAATCCCCAAACCTCAAACCCTAAACCCCAAACCCAGATCTAAACCCTAAAGAAACCAGGCCGAAGTGCGAGCTTCAGCGACTCGGGCGGCCCAGCCCTGAGGTCGGGCGCCAGGGCTGCGGAGAGGTACGGGCAGAGTTGAAACCTGGGATTTAAGGTTTAGGGGTTCAGGGGTTTAGGGTTTTAGGGATTAGGGATTCAGGGATTTAGGGATTAGGGTTTACGTAAGTTTTGGCTGAAACCTGGGATTTCGGTTCTTTTGGGTTCAAGGTCTAAGGGCTTATTAGGGTTTAGGGATTTAGGGTTTAGGGTTTGGGGCTGAGGTTGGAACTATGGGCCCCTTAGCATGGGCGGCTGATCCCAGGATCCCTAGCAACAAACCCTGCGAAACCCTGGAACTTCAGGGTTAAGGGTTTAGGTCCCAAGAAACAGTTACAGGCCCACATCAGAGGCCCATGGCGATGACCTTCAAATAAAATGTGTCTAAAGTGATTATCCTAGATTTAGAGCGTTTTGAAGTTCAGGATTTCGGGGGTAGGGTGTGTTCAGGGATTAGACTTGTTGTGGGGTGTATAAGGTTCAGGGTAGGGGCAGCCATGAAACATGGGTTAAGAGGCTTTACCCTTTTAGGCTTTCGGGTCGGCTGGTTTTGGTCTGGTAGATAAGGCCTAAACTCTAAACCGTAAACCCTAGAACCCTAAAACCCTGAAACCCTGAAACCCTGAAACCCGAAAACCGTGAACCCCTAGTGTATGAAACTGCAGAGTTACCAGACTTCAGGGTCAGGTAGTAACGGAAAAGATGTAAATTAATGGTTTTTGTTAAGGAACTTAGTTTAAATTGCCCAACTATTTGACGTATATACCCATTATGGTAACTTAGATTACATTCCTTAACAGCAACCCAGTAGGGGCAGAGTGGAAACCTGGGTTGGGTTTTGGGGGAGCTTTCAGGATTCCGTTCATGGAGTTGAGGTTTAGGGTTTACAGTTTACGGGCTAAAGATTGGGGATTTGGATTTGTGTATGGCTTAGGGTGTGGTAAGTAGTAAGTATCCTGTGACCTCCACCCTAAACCAAACACCCAAGAACCCTTCTGACCGATAACCTGCTTGAAGGGACGTACATCCCGCATAAGTACCCATGGACCTCTAGGCAGTAGGTATATACCAAGCCCAGAAGCTGTTGATACACCTGCCCGGAAGTGTTGGATCGACATCGAACACGTGAGTTTTCTACGTCCATGTAGTAGCCGCTGCCCGCGCGGAGGTACCTTGGGGTTTAGGCTTCGGGGTCCACAATTGAGCGGGATTTAATTTGTAGGCTCGTCTTAGTGTTAGGATGTAGTGCACGAAAACGGCTTATTATAGGCTTAGAGGCAAGCGTCCTCCGAATACTTTGGTGCAAAGCTACGAGTAAAGCTACAATGGCTTGGGTGCCGGAAGGCAATCCTGTTTTCTGGGGGTTCCTGCATAGGTAGTACCAGGAGTCCTCCCTGAAACGCAGTCTTTCTTTGAGGGGCACCTGTACACAACATGACCCAAATTCTGAAGAATCCCACCGTTAGAACTGTCCTTTAGAAGCCCAAAACCCTAAACCCCAAAAACTTAAACCCCAAACCCCAAACCCTAAACCGTAAACTAAGCCCCCAATCTGAAGAAACGCTGTTCGATTGGTACTTTTTGAATCCCAAAGTTGAACGGCATCACCCCCAAACCCCAAACCCCAAACCCTAAACCCGAAATTAGCCTCAAAACCCAAAATCTTTCTGAAACCCTGAGGGTTTAGGGTTTAGGGTACCCTAACCCCAAACCCTGAACCCTAACCTCCAAACCCTAAACCCTTTCCAGCTGCACGAACTCACCGAGGCGAACTCGGACATCTGCCACGGGAGGGCGGCTGGACGCCTGCAGGGAAAGTAAGCTTTAGGGTATTGGGGTTTAAGGTTTAGGGTTTAGAGTCTAGGGTTTGGAGTTTAGGTTCACGGTTTGGAGTCTAGGGTTTGGAGTTTAGGGTTTAGGTTGTACGGGTTTAGAGTTTCGAGTCTAGGGTTTGAAGTTTAGGGTTTGGTTGTAAGGGTTTAGGGTTTAGAGTTGAAAGTCTAGGGTGTGAAGATTAGGGTGTAGCTTTTAGGGGTCCAGGGTTTAGGGCTTGGGGTTTAGGGTTTAGAGCCTAGGGTTTGGAGTTTAGGGTTTAGGTTTTGGCGTTTAGGGTTTGGGGAGGATTAAGCAGCCTGGGTGACCCATCAAAGGTCCTCACACTCTTACAATGAGGGCTTCCAAAAAAAGGGACCCCCAATATAGATCCTAAACTATAAGTATCCTGACCTCCATTTTCTGGAAAAAACCAACTCCATTTTGGGGGACCTTGGCAAGACGAAAGCTAGTCTGCGAGGATGTATGCAGGCTTTCCGTTTCAAATTGCCGCGCAGAACAAACATGGGAGGCTGGAACGTAGGAGCCTAAATAAAGCGCTTCGGGTTCAGCAGGGTTCAGGGTTTGGTTTAAGGGTTTAGGGAGATCATCCCCAAGAATGGAGAATGGAAAATGAAGTGGCAACTGGGTAGATAATTACATAAATGATGGTCCTACATTCCTCGTGCCATGATGGAGGGATTCGGTAAAAACTTGTCCAAAGTCGTATCACCACCGTGAGCTTCTGGTCTAGCATCTTCATCTTAATCTCCCTGGAAGTGCCTTGATGTTGTTTGCCTGGCTCAAGAGAGTACTTAGACAAGAGAGGAGGAAGAAAGATGGCGAGCGGGAGAGAGAGCAAGACAGATGTAAGCTTACGGGTTCTTAGTAGGGCATACGGGGATATTATCCTGATTACTGAGAACAAGTACGTAAGCAAATTCTACGAAGCCTCATAGTGGTGTAGCAAAACCACAGCCAAGCACCAAGCACCTATTCAGGAGGCACACAAAAAGCTGTGCTTTTGGGTGGTTGAATCTGAGCCGAAACCCCAATAAACCCCAAACCCTAAAACCTACCCAAAGAAAGGATATACTCTTACTTTCTATTGGGGCCGATGGGGTGTACCTTAAAAACTACCCGTATGGGGATGACATGAGGATGGGATACGCTTTTGTTAGCACCCTGCTAGTATGCTTGCACCCACAGCTGTAAACCCTGAAACCGGGCCTTGAGCCAAAACCCTAAACCCTAAACCCTAAACCAAACACCCTAAACTCGATTAAGCCCCTCAACCTAAACCCTAACGCCTAAACTCTATGAAACCCTAAACCCTGAACTCTAATTAAACCCTAAACGCTAAACCCTGAACTCTAACTACGCCCTACAACCTAAAATCTGAAGCCTGCCCTCCCCACCTTGTCCCGCCGCTGCTTTGGCGGCCGGGCGCGCAAGGTAGGGCTGCTACGGGCACGCTCCATGGGGCGCTTTTGCTGCCATGGCTCTGTGGAGGTCCCCTTAGGGGCTCCCTTCGTAGGATGTAAGTTTAGGATTCTAGGTGTTGGGGATAAACTTCGGGCTAAGTGTCAAGGATGTAGGGCTTAAGGTTTAAGTTTGGGTGGTCTTAGTAGGGCTATGAGATCCAGAGCCCCCGAAACTCGGAAGTTTCTGTCACAGCATA